GTTTAGGCATTTATTAGAATTTTAGATTTGAATTTCATAAATTGTTTTGACCGCGGATATGTGAATTATTTAGTTTTTAGAAACATAGTTCACTTTTAACAGTTCGAAAATTGATTAGAGAGGGAAGAAAAAGGTGGGTAAAATGTATGTTCAGCTCCAAACTCTTTTAAAAAAAACTTGGTTAAAGAAACTATGGCGAAAACAATAGAGTTGCCTTTAGGACTAATGCTTTGTTTTAGAATAGTATGGGTGTTACTCAGCAACCTCTCCGAAAATAGCAACAGAGACTGCCTATATATTGAAATACCATCAACTCTACATATTTTTTTATTTTTTTTATTTTTTTTTTTTTGTATTTTATTAATTTTTATTAATTCAAAGTTACATACATTTTTCATAAACAAACATAATTCACATAATCAGACAGACACGGTACATCATATATCTACATACACAATCCACAGTCCCTCTTAGCTCTCCTTGGCTTCTAAATATAATACTAGCACAGTGCAGCAACAAACATGAGATTCTATATCATCTAATAATTTTTGTACTTGTCCCATTTCATATTATGAGCTTTTAACTTATTATTTAATTTTGCGATCATTGTCTCGAGTTGGTGGATCGTTTTAATTTTGAGGTTTAATACTTTAGTTGAAGGAAGAGATTTGTTCTGTCGGTAAGAATATAAATACTGTTTGGCAATTATTAAAATACGATTGATTAATAATTCGTCTTCGCACCTTAAAATGCCAAACATTATATCTTTTTCAGAGAGGTGTTTTATCTTTACGCCTTGATTATCGAACCACTTTATTACCTCAGCCCAGAAATCCTTCGTATAACGACAAGAAATAAAAAAGTGCTCCAAGGATTCGTTCATTTCGCCACAAAAGGAACACGCCGGGGATGGAGTAATACCAATCTTGTTTGGAAAAGAATTTGTGACAAGACACCTGTTAAGTAGTTTATACTGGAATTCACGCGATTTTGTGTCCAAGGAAGTACGAAATGGCAAGCTGTAAATCTCTTTCCATTCTAAAACATCATTAACAAAATGAGTATTAAAATTCAGTTGGGCAGTCGGTGGAGTGATGATTCTATTTCGAAGTTCTTTATATATAGTCTTTGAAATGACTGTTTCAATTAAAACGTTTTTAAAAATTGAACTGTAACCAGGATATGACATAGTGAAAAAGGTAAAAAAACGTTCTCTGGTTAAAAAGGTTTTAAAATATGAGCTTTCGGCTATTATACTATAGCCTTTAACGAATGTAAAAAATATAAGCGCGTGAATGGAAATATATCCAGGGGAGGGTGTGAAAAAATTAAAAACTAAAAAATACAATAAAAGTGTGAAAAGCTAAAAAATGGACAATAGAACAAAATCAAATTACAATAAGATAGAATATTGTCTTGGTAACGGTTTAGAGTTATTGTCTGCGCCGACAGTTTTTGCAGTATGCCAAGATTCTAGTGTTTTTCGAACGCGGTAATTGCCTTTGTCTATCACGGTAGCCCCCTCAAAGTCAATCGCGTGATTGTTTTCCCACGCATGGCTGGCAATGTTCGAGCCACTCGTATAGTTTTTAAGATTTCGTTGATGTTCCTTTCTTCGGGTTTTAAAGCATCTGCCAGTTTCTCCTACATAACTCCAACAGCAGTCAGAGCACAGAATTTTGTAGACAACATTGCATTGTAGATCTAAGGGCTGCCTGAACTTAGGTGACGGAAATTCTTGTTGCAGGGTTTTAGCTGGTTTGCTCACCACACGAATGTCATTTTTACGAAGTAATCTGGTAAGGGGCTCACTCAGGCCGCTGATGTAGGGAAGACAAGCGAAACCCAGAGATGTGTCTGATGGATCGGCCCATTTGAAGAACATGGACACTAACTCTTCTGGTGGAGGAGTTGTCGGAGCTGACTTCTTTTTTAAAATGTTGGAAATAACTATTGATGGGTAGCCATTAGCTTTTAAGGCTTCGGTAACGTGGCTAGTCTCGCGTCTTTTACCTTCAATGGTGCTCGGAAGGTTGGCTGCACGGAATAGAAGGGTCGAGGCCGCACAGACTTTATGTTTTAATACATGATGTGAAGAAAAATCCAGATATCTATCTGTGTGTGTCGGCTTCCTGTAAACATCAATGCTAGTAACACCAATTTTCCTGGAAACAAGCGTGTCCAGGAAAGAGATTTGACCATTGTTTTCTTCTTCGATAGTAAAAGCGATTTTGGGATCAATGGAGTTTAAGGCGTCATGGAAGGAGGAGAGAGCATCTTTCTTGCTGATAACAAAGCTGTCGTCAACATATCGTTTCCAAACCCTTGGTGCAACTGTAGAGGTATTGATGGCTAATTCTTCAACTACCTCCATGCAAAGATTAGCGACGATAGGGCTTACAGGGCTGCCCATGGCACATCCGTGGACTTGCTTGTATATACAGTTATTGTAGACAAAATAGTTGTTGGAGAGAGTGAAGTCCAATAGAGAAATGATGTCATAGGTAGTAAGGCTTGTTCTAGACTGTAAAATACTGTCATTGTTCAACTTGTTGCGAATATAATCACACGCTTTGTTGACAGGGATAGCTGTGAAAAGCGACACAACGTCGAATGACACCATAACTTCATCATCAGAAATTTCCATATTGGCTACTTCTTTGGCAAACTGTGAAGAGTTAAGAACAGAATAGCCATTGAGATTTTTGCCGTTAAAACTTAATTTAATTTCGTTATACAAATCGAAAGGCTCGTCAGCTGTAGAAGCAAGCGTGTTTAATGATTCACACCATTCAACTGGTAAGGCGTCTATTACAGAAATAAGTCTAATATATCTAACGGCGAGGTGTTTAATTCTCTCAACTTGTAATTACTTTAAACAATAAATTCGTTATTGTCCGAGATTAGATCCCCTATTCGAAAAATTCCTTTTTCTGTGAGATTTTTAAAATACACAGATTTGCCACCGATACAAATAAATTTATTATTCCACACAATAGCTTTTGAAAGATCTTGTCTATTTTGATCCTGTATACTTGTGTGAGTTGCTGCGGAACATTTTCCGAAACTTTTAAAGCATTCTTCATAAAATGCTAGAAGCTTTATGGGCAATTTCTTCAAATGAAAATCGCAATATAAAATAAGTTTACCCCCCACAGGTTTAAGATAATGCAGTACAATTTTTTTCCAATTGCTCGGTTGATCGCTTGCCAACTTTTTGCAACAGAGGATTCTCTGAGTCTCTATTATAGAATCTAAATGTGGGGCTTTAAGTCCCCCATCTTCAATGTCACCAATAAGAGCAGAGCGTTTGATTTTGTCCTTCCCCTTCCAGATAAAATCGAAGATAATTTTGTTCACATCTTTCACAGATTCCCTATTTACTAATATCAAATTCACGCGATACAGGAAAATAGGAATGATAAAAGTTTTGACAATTTGAATTCTTCCGATAGTCGTCAAATCCCTCCACCTCCAAATTCGTAGTTTTTGTTGAATGGAACTAATTAATTCATCAACATTTCATTTTTGTTTCAATCGAAAATCATAGGTGAAGTGCACTCCCAGAATTTTAACAACTTTTTTAATTTTTAAGTTGCATGAAACGACATTGTCTTGCTGTAGAGTAGAAGAACAATTACCCAATATCATTATTTCTGATTTATCGTGGTTAATCTTCAGGCCTGAACAAGTCCCGTAATCTTCTATAAGTTTAAGAAAGTTCACAAGCGAAAGATTATCTTTCAAAAAACCAGTTAAATCATCTGCGAAAAGGCTTAATCTTATCTCTTCATTAACTACCTTAATACCATTATTATCTTTACTACTGCGTACACTAATACAAAGAATTTCTAGCGCTATGATGAACAGGTAAGCAGAGAGGGGGTCTCCTTGTCTCACTCCCCTTTCAACTGCAAAGGGCTGGGTAGAAAAACCATTGTTTATGACACAACTTGAGATGTTGTTGTAAAATGTGTGTATCCATTGCAAAAATGATGGACCAAAACCAAAAGAGGTTAGAGTGCGAAATAGAAAATCTCTACTGAAAGTATCGAAGGCCTTTTTGAAAACTATACAAATCATTCTCCCTTCAAGATTATACCTTTGTGAGAATTCCATGACATCCTCTATCGTCAAAAATAGTTCTTCCCTTAACATATGCGCATTGATTATAATGTATGATGTTTGGTAAGACCCTCTCTAATCTTTTTGCAATAGCTTTTGACCCTATTTTTACGTCCACATTGATAAGTGAGATTGGTCTCCAATTCGACAAATCCCGTTTGTCTTTATCCTTTTTCTCAATTGAGGTAATAATGGCTTCCTTTTGGGAATTTGACAACTCGCCATAATCATAAGAGTAGTTTAAACTGTCTACCATCAGATTTCCTAAAATGTGCCAAAAAGCTCTATAAAATTCAGCCGTTAATCCATCATTACCTGGTGACTTGTTGCTTTCAGAAAGCTGAAGACTCTTGTAACACTCGTCAACTATTAATTTTCCATCACAGTTTCGAGCCTCGTTATTAGTGAGTTTCGGTATTTCAGAGTTATTCAAAAAAAAATTTAGCATCTCCTCTGATGGTCTAAGGGGATCATGTTTACAAAGATCGGAATAAAAATTTTATATCTCTTGGAGAATCCTTTTAGGGTCTGTGATTAGCACACCTTCACTTTTAAAGACTTTGCGAACAGAGCTTTTTTAGCTTTTTTATGCGTTTCCAGATTTTGAAAATACTTGTTGCTTTTTTCGCCTTTCTCATACCATGTGGCTTTTGATCGAATAATGGCTCCCTTTGCTATCTGTTCATAAATAGAATCGTATTCCATTTTCAACATTTCAAGCTCCTCCTGATTCTCAAAGGTTGGTGACTCTTTGCACTTTTCCTCACAAATCCTTAGAGAGGTCTCAAGATCAGAAATCTTTTTTCTTTTTTGAGCGCTCTCTCTTTACTATACTTAATTGAAACTTGTCTGATTCTGTACTTAATTAAATCCCACAACAGTCTTTTATCTGTAACTTCTTCGAATTCCTTTAACCACATAGGCACACTTTCGTTTATCAATGTGACAAAATCATCATCGTCGATGAGACTGGCATTAAATTTCCAAAAGGAGGGACCGTATTCCGGTTTGTCTAAACTATTAAGATGAAGAAAAATTGCCGAGTGGTCTGAATTAATCGAAGGAATGATATCAGATTTCTCAATATCATCCTGGGAAGAATCATTGATTAGCCAATAGTCAAGTCTTCTCTGAATGAAAGGATTTTTTTGCCTCCACGTAAAACGTTTACATTCCGGATTTCGAATTCGCCAAATATCTACTAAGTCGAAATCGAGACAAAAGTCTTGTATTTGAACTCTTTCTTAAAAGGTTTTCCACCGGAACAATCAAGATCGGAGTCCAGTGTGACATTGAAATCTCCCCCTACAATTATCCTATGCTCTTTGTTAACAGCGAAATGTTCAATGTTTTTATTTAAATTTTCAAAAAAACGGCAACGATCTTGAACCTTGTTGGGAGCATAAATATTAACAAACAAGAATAATGAGTCTTGTACCTCAGCTTCCATTATAATTGAGCGGCCCTCGGTATCCAAATTAACGGACTTAACGCTAAAATCAAGGTCACTTCTCACTAAAAAAATCATCACCCCACAACTGTGATTAGAACCATGCACAAAATGAAGCTTACCTTGCCATTTCGTCTTCCAGATATCTTCAACATCTACAGTACTGTAGGTTTCTTGAAGGAAAATGATATCGTACTTTCGTTCATTAAGCCACGTGAAAAGAGCTTTCCTCTTTGTTGGGGAACGAATCCCTCGAACATTAAGAGAAAGTAATTTAGAATTTATATACTCCTTCTCGAATGGGACAATTCAATCAACTAGTTACGTATACAAGTATCTCGCGTTGCAACTGCGCATAAATTAATATGTGGTACCGATGGAGGTTACAAGAGGTTTCTACACAACAACATGGTATACAAAAGAAACAACAAATAAAAAACATTACACAACAATGTCTTACACAAAGAGAATAAACTCTACATATGCGTTAAGCAAAAGAGTCTTCCCTTCAGATTGTGGTACCTCATACTTTTCGTAAAATGCCGTTGATTTTGCACCCCGTAACCTTTTTATGCGTAAGATAAGAATCATGGTCAAGTGACCGCTCCTATGTTTTTTATTCTTGTCCAGACCTCCCTTGGCCCTCCCCGATGAAGATAAGATAAGTGTGTGCTCTCAAGACACACGTCAATACAGCTCAGCTCAATTCAACCACACACTGAGGAGAGGAAGATTACGCCATCGCGTCATGTCCTTAACCATGCCAACTCTTCTTTTGATATTCGTACTGGATTTAGCCGCAATCTTTTTCAACGGACTACTGTTACAGAGCTGCTTCAAAGATGAAAAAAAATACAGATCTATCAAAAAGTGCTGGATATTATTAGGTCTTCAAGTCGCTTGCCAAGTTGTAATTCTGGTCGCGGATGCCGCGGGATGGTGGAATGGTTTCCGTATTCAAGCTACGGAATCCTGTAATTTCTTGTGGGTTCTTTCCTTGTCCATGATGTTTTTTCAAATTAGTAACCTGATGGCAATCATGAAAGTGTGCTATGAACATCCCTCAGTACATGAAGAACATAAAGCATTTTCTTGCCTTTCATTGTACGCGATGCTTCTTCTGAGATTCATCGCTTCTGCAATGATCTTTTGGCACCGTTGCTTCTTGCAAACGCCCATTTTTCAAGTCGTCCTTAAGGTTACGTTGATTTTGACCATGTCTATTGACTTCTGTTTGGTTTCCGTAACCTTGGCTAGAGACGATACTGAGAGCAACGAGGAGATCATGTCACCAAAATCAGACGCCGCGATGGATTCACGTTTCTTGTTACGGTCGTGGAGAGCTTGGACAGAAAACAAGAAGTCCTTACTCGTTATCGTTTTTGTTGCAACATGTTCGGTGCTGATTTTCAGCGACATGGCCAGTGCTCGTTTCCAATCAGCACTATGGGGTCACGATTTGAAAGGAGCCACGTCGTTTCATATAATTTTTTATCTACTAATCCTCAAATTTTGTTGGGGAATATGTGTAGCAGTAACACTGTATGATGCGATTGATTTAAGCTATCCCAGAAAGAAAGGCAAAGGCACCATAACAGTAACAATTTGAAAGGAAACTTTGCTGTGAATTACAGAAACTGAAGTAAAACTTCGTTTATAACACATGGGTTACTCGATCTTTCTTTGAAGTAAACAAAACACATGGCCCATTGAGTCCCACTATGTTGTGATACTCTTCGTTATTCTTATTTCTCCAAAGGATATCAATTGGGTTGACTTCAGAGGCACTGTTTCTTGTAGTTTCTAAATTTTAAAAGTCTAAGGAAAGGTATCGTTTGAGCTGACATTGGAATAATTGGATTATATGAAGAAAAATCCTCCTAATAGTAATAACTACTAAGTCTAGAATTTGTTTGAAAATCTTCTTGCCAATGTTTTTAGATCCGCAATGACTAACGTTATTAATATCAATTGTTACACAGTTCTAGCATTTTTTCTCAAATAAAGAGGGAGACAACTGACGGTTTAGAGCAGCAAAGGTTTCGAAACATGTTTTGAGTCAACATTAAAAGCCTGGAGGACTTTGAATTGACTTTAATTTGCATTCAGCTTTTCCTTTTTCATGGAAATGAAAACTTGTTTCTAGGAAACCCCTTGATTAGTCTATGAATGTCGTTTCGGTCTTTTTCGGACTTCGATCAGAGTATTAATTGATTTTTCGTTATTCTTTATACTCTTGCCCGTTTACAAGTTCATCACAAACTATTCAAGGACTTCCATAAGCTCCGTAGCAGTCTTTGTCTTTTCTTTTCGAAGTAAAATCCTATCTCTCGTCGAAGATATCACTCTTTCTAACGCTCAAGATGATTACTGAACTTGCCTTTTTCTGGAAAAAAAAGAAAAAAAAAGCCTCAATTTTATTCATAAGTTCACTTTCTATCTAGAAGTAAAATTTTGTTTTTAGGAAACCCCATGATTAGTCTATGAATGTCGTTTCGGTCTTTTTCGGACTTTGATCAGAACATTAATTGATTTTGAAGTATTCTTTATACATTGCCAGGTTACAAATCCGTCTCAAACTACTCCAGCAGCGAGACGCGAAGTCACCTATATTCTTCGGCTCAGTCTAACACGAAAACATGAAAGTCAGTTAGGAGGTTTTTATTCACATAAACGTCATAAATCATTTGTTTCTCTTATCTACCTTTCTCAACAACCTTGGGAAACCATTTTGTAGGAATCCTCATGAACGTACAAATTCTTCTTAGAAGTTTCCCAGGCAAAACAAAGAATGGCAACTTTAAGGATTTTTCTTTTTTTCGTTACGGTACTGACCAAGCGAATCCAGTTGGAGTATCACCGACCAACACAGAACTCGTCCGGTGAACGACTTTGTTATATCATATCACTTGAATTGCAGCGAATAACTTTAGTTTTTTTGACATTACAATTGTTTCAATTATTATTCACGATTACTAACATTTTTATCTTTCTTGTTGGTATTTTATAATGATAATTAATGTTATGATTATTTTCTTATACAGTAAAATTTGAATTTTCCGCTGGTATACAGTTTTCTAACACCTTTATAGCTCGTTATTCGTTGATTATTGCGACACGCCAAGAGGCGTTTCTCGAAGGGTTTCATGATAGGATAGTTTTGTTTTTTAGTATTTAAGAGTGGTCGTTTGTAAAAATCGAGCAGAGGTGTTCAAAATTAAAAGAAATTGAAAATTTTTTCAAACTTTGCCAGAACATAGCTATGAATGGCCTTAGTTACGGAAAAATATCAAAAATGCCGAAAAAAAAATTATTTTGGAAGAGCGGTGGCATTTTGTGTTTTGGGGGTTCATAACTGTGTTTTCTCGGTGAATTAGTGCACCTCAAGATAACGGCCGAAATAAAACTCATTTCACGAGCAATTCGGAAACTACATAAAAGTTCTGAATCAAGAGATGTTTTTCAAAGGTTCTGAAGCATTTTTTACAAGATTCCTTAAAAAATGATTTTTTTACGAATTTTCTATTTCAGGTAAAATTTCACCCATCAAAACATACATCAACTTTGGCGACTAAAATCGGCCATTCTTATATGGCTCCGTAAACTGAGAAAACAACCATTATCAATAAAAAGGCTTCCTCTTTTAGAAACTGCAATAAAATCTCTGGGCTACTTAGACTACGAATTTTTAGAGCGATTTGTATAAGCGTATTTGAGCTCAAGAAGCACGTTACGTGACCGACGTGACTAGCACGTCACTTCAAGAAAAAACATTACCAAAACGCTCGAATTCCCTATTATATCGTACAAAACTTCGAAAAAGGTCTCCTTCATACTCAATATACATATTATTTTCTCCTGAAGCCAAAAAGTCGAGGCAATCTGGGCAATTTTCGATAGTCTAGTATATGCAAATCACTGGTTTATGTTGTTACAATGGCCATATTCGCAACTTATACCAGCCCAACAATAACAAAAACTTTTTTAACATCAGAAGGAATTTCCCAAGCTATAATTACACAAAAGTTTACCTTTAGAAGTGGTTTCCATGCCAAGAGTATCCACTTCAGCCTGCTCCACCTTTTTGAAAACTTATCCATGCTACCATTCTCGCCACTGCAGTGCGATCGATGCTTTGTGATTGCGTTACACACAGGAAGCCCCTGAGCGTGAGAATGCTTATCTTCGCCTTCCTCTTTCCTAACTTATCATTGTTTTAAATTTGTTCGTTTGCTAAAATGGCGACATGCAGCTACTCCGAGCTCGTTGGTGGATCTTGTAGCTCCCGCAAGAACAGTGGAGAAAGTAAATGCATAGTCACAACAAAGTGCAAAAGAGACATCCAAGGTCATCTTAAAACATTTAAATGCCATGATGCTCAGCTGGAAAGTGAGTGCATTCTTCTTCTCGCCAGGGCAGGTAAACATCTCACTATCAAAAATGTTAAGAATGTTCAGCAAAGGCAAATAATGTATCCCTCTTTGTCCTGCTTTTATATTTTGCACTAAGATCAGTGAGGTCATATCGTGACACGGTTCAATGCCCTTGATTTTATCTTTGCTTTAAGATTTATTTCTTGAATCCACATAAACGCTTGAATCCAAGACAACAGGATGCCATTCAGCATTATATATTGTTATGAAATATAAAGCATTGGTCCATGCCGACAATTTACTTATTTATCTATCTATCGATTCCTTCCTTCTTTCATTCCTTCATTCAATCATTTATTTATTTAGTTATTTATTTATTCATCAATTTATTCATTTATTTAATTAGTATACATATTATATACATTGTAAATTATATCCACTATATTTACATTATTTTACGAAATGGGTCTGGGGGAGGGCCGGGGCTTGCATTGAATTGCGCACCCTCTACTCCAAACTAAGTTCCCATGATTTGAAATTTTGTTTTTTTTTGTTTCGTTGTTTTATGTTTTTGTTTGTGTATGTGTGTGTTTCTGTTTGTGTGGTTTGCTTATTTGTTTTGCTTTG